TAATTGTCTGCCTTTTACTTTTAAGAAGATACTCATTTAGTTGTATAAAGTACAACTGATTCTGTAAGCAGAGTACATTCCTTAGGGCAGAACCTGCTGCTTAATGACCAAAAATTGCATTTAAAAGAGACATCAATTAAGTAGATAAAAGATGATTAAAGAAGACAATTTAGGTTCCAATCTCTCTAATCTTTCCTAACTTCATGTAGTGGAGCGATTCCTTTTGGAGAACTGTGAAATGGAATGGAATATAGGAGACTTAAAAGATAAAGAATAATAAGGCAGAGACTAATAGAAAATATCAGTTTAGCTGGGGCCACATAGTCAACTTCTTTGGTAAGAAGGAACAAGGAAATTAGTATGGAGCCCAGAGTAGGCTTGGCATTTGGCTGAGTGGTCTAGGAAGCCTTTGTAGGGACATGAAAATTATCTAAGTTTCAATTTATTGATGTGGTACCCTGGGCAAAAGCAGCCTCCATCTTGGGTTAAGAAAGTTATTTCATCAGTATGTAATAAATGTTTGTTGAAGGAATAAGTAAAAAAAATGCTAACAAAGATGAGAGACTTAAGTATAATAGTATCTACTCTATGTCGAGAGTCTACCTTTTGCCAGGGTGTTGACTGATATTATGTACTTTCTTATAAAAACACCAAGGCAAACATTATTGCTCCCATGTCACAGACAGTGCAACAATCTTTAGTGTGTACCAAAACAGACATGTTTAGTGCTAGAAAATCTAATAAATATGGGGAAGGCTTGAAGTGTGGCTAGTTCCATAAAAATGGCATCTGAGAAGGTGGCAAATCTGAATTTAGGCCTTCCTGTGCTTCTCTATTTGAAGTAGTACCCTTAATTAAGCTGATATGTTTGTCAGAGTGCACTGGTGAGTTGTATGTGTCTAGCATGCTACTGGTCTGGGGAGGCTGACAAGGAGCTATGTATGATCAGGTGTGATGAAGAGCTTGGGTTTTGCAAGGGACTAAGTCATTAGCAATGCACTGAACACATAGGTGGTATTAACATTCCTGAAAGTTTGCAGCAGGATAGCAAATATGTTTCTAGTGCTTCCTTTAATATTTATTCAGGTAGCCTGTTAAACGTCAGCACTCATACAGGTGGATTGTTAGTAGTTTGTGTACCAATGGAAACCCCAAAATATAGTTGGCCAGGATCTTTTTGATTAGTAATACTCTTTTGTGAAGCAAATGCTAGATAGTATTACTAGGAAAAATGAGATTTTTACACACAAAAATTCTGTTAGAAAAACCAATGGCAAAGTAAGCAAACTTTGGGAAATAATTAAATAATTATACTGGATTCATTGTATCATGACAAACAAATTGGATGTTGACAACAATCAAACCTTATATGGAGCTGAGACATATTTCATCCTTCGGCACTTTTTTTTCTGTTGAGATTAGTCCCAAATTCTTACTGGATTTCAAAGAATCAATGAGTTACAACAGACTTACGTGCTACTTGTGTATTCTTCTGAACATTGTGTGGATTTGGAAATCTCTCTAATCTTCCTGAGCTTTTTATTTGGTCCAATTATCTCATCTAAAACTACTTTTAAAATGCTAGCTCTTAATTCTTAATTGCTCTTAGCTCTGCAACATGCTATGTTTGAGCATCTTCAATTTTTATCAACCTCAGAAGCAGCTATGTGACCTAAGGTACTTACTCCACTATTTGGAAGGTGATGTAAAAATATGCCTGGAGTAGGAGAAAATTAAATGACCTTTGGCTTCTTACTTTTGTTTTTATTCCATAGGGGACATTTACATTTATCAAATTTTCTTCCAAATATGTGCCATAGATGGCAGGAATGTGACATGTGTAGTCCAGAAACCAAAGCCCTCCCTTGCATTTCCTTAAGCAAATATCATTAATTCCACTGTTTGATATTACTCTTGATATTTTATGAATGAGTTTGCTTGGGGCAAAGATGGGAACAAGGGACAGCTAAATCATTACTAAAGAGTTTATCAGTCGCTTAAAAGAATTCGAGAAAAGATTTGGAGGAAGAATGATAGATTCTTTAGTATATTTCTTTAATAATGAGCAAATTTTTCAAATACTAGCTGAACAAATCTCAGTTGTGACAATCCCACTAACATTCTACCTAAAATCAGATGTGGGACTTGAGAATATCAAGGAACTTTTATGAAAGATACAAAGTACTGAGAAATAAAGTATCAAAAGAACAACACAGTATTTATCTAAATATTTTAGGCCCTCTATATGCAATTTCTGGGTTCATCCTAGAGATCAAGTCCAAACACATACCAAGTTCATTTACAATGTGGCTGACTCCAAAGTACTGAGACATCATTTAAATGCCTACTATTTTTTAGTATTTTATAAGATTTTAAAAAAATCATAAATGCAAAAGTCACAAATACTGATTGTAATTACATTATTCAGAATGTGTACTAACCTCTACTACAGTTGTATCAGCCAAATGGCTTTAAGAAACTTATGGAAATGGGTGCATTCAACCCACACTGTTACTTCCAATGTCATCAAATTTTCCATCTTTTCATGGTCAAAGAGTATAAAAGTGTGGATTAATGCTAGCCAACATATGAAATGACAAAGATAAATCTGGCACTCTGAGACAAAGATAACTTTAGCTCCATGGCCTTGGGCATTTAACTGCAGGAAATCTTTCACAGTGATGTAAGAATCCAGTAAGACATTGACGTGAAAAGTTCTTTGTGAAGCAAATGCCTGACTTTCTACTCAGTTGCTGTAGATGAACAGAAGAACCTCTCAGTGGCCTTTTATTTTCACAGTGAGACTCACTGGTTACCCCTGAAGAAGGGCCAGGATGTGACCTGTGGCATGATTACACTTTATAAAGAGGCTTTTGGTGGAGTTTCATTATATTTTTTAATGTTTGAGACACTAAGAGGAGTTAAATATTTTCCTAGTTCTTCCAATTTGTAAAAGCTAACATGCACAAAGCAGTTATTATGTGCCAAGCACTGTATTAAGCATTTAACATAAATAAGCTCATGTCTTCCTCTCAGTCACCTGTGAGCTCCCTACTATGGTTATGATCATTTTATTTATTTTTTCATTAAGACTTATTTATGTATACAAGAGCTGGGGTACAGGCCAGAGTTGTGGGGGGTGAGAGGATCCACCAGATACAGAGTAGGGAACAGAACAGGCAGATTGACCGAAGTACACTGCTGAGGGGAGCAGCAGGCAAGACAGGAAGAGGTCTGCTGCGCCATGTGGGTTGCTCCCTGGCTGGCCAGGGATCGAACTCGTGCTGCAGAGGCTGTGGATTGCTTCATACTGCGGTGCTAAACCCCTTGTGCCACCAGGGAGGCCCAATTATGTCCATTTTAAACATGAGGAATCCAGGTGCACAGATCAGAGAGAAGGACCCACAATCAATCATGGTCACAACCACAATTTTATCTGTAGTCACTGCTTTCTTCAGCATTCACTGTAATATGTTGTTGGTTATCTCCATTTACTTCCATAAATCAGACCCCGTTTAGAGGCTATTATAAAATAGTAACATAACTGCACTTCTGGAGTAAGAAGGAAATGTTGGGAATAGGTGGTTTTTAAACCTGGGATAATCAAACACAGACTGATGAACTGCGACATTGTACTGGTAGAACACTCCTTGTCTACAGCCACATATGAAGTTGGAAAGATGAGGCCATGCAATTTTCCAAAGCAAGGGAGTAGGGTTGTAAGTTGCATGGATGCTGGGGAGCCTGCTCACCGCCACTCTTGAAAGAGTTATTGCATTAAAAGGCATGTTGAATATTTTCCAGTTTTCTTTTTTTTTTTTTTAAAGATTTATTTATTTATTTATTTATTTATTTATTTATTTATTTATTTATTTATTTATACAAGCACTGGGTACAGTCAGAAGCACGGGAGGGTGAGAGAATTCACCAGAGCCAGAGCGGGGAGCAGAGCAGGCAGAAGGACCGAAGTACACTGCTGAGGGGAGCAGCAGGCGGCAGGAGAGGTCTACGCGCCATGTGGGACCCTCCTCCAGTGGCCGGGGAGCAGCCGGGGATTGAACCGGTGCTGCAGAGGCTGCGGGCAGCTTCACAACCCAGCGCTCAACCGCTGCGCCACCGGGGAGGCCCTATTTTCCAGTTTTCTTAACCACAGTCTTTACCCTAGCTTTGGCGTCAGACTTCAAAATGTGTGGTGTGGACATGAATCTGGAATCAATAATCTTTCTAGCACCCTGTGCTTTTCTCGCTGGCTCCAAAATTATGTCTGTTTTGTGTTTAAGATCTGTCCCAGATTGTTGGGACACAATCATTTAAGTCGATAAATAGGTTAATACGTAGAGGGATAATTTTTGCTTTATTTATATGGGTGCCTTCCATAGCTAGCCCTCAACAGGAGTGACTAATTTGGGAATTTAAAGAATGGTGGCAGCTCCACAGGAAGTTCTTTTGGAAAAGGCCCTCTTACGACACAGCATAGGCAGCGTGGCTGCCTGTCGAGTCAGTCTTGGCCAGCCCTGAGGGTGGCTTCAAAGTCAGCCCAGAGGCTGGAAGTTCTCAGGCAGTAAGTTTATTCACTTGTACAAGGTGCCTAAGCTTCCAGAAATGCGCCTTTGCACTAGGGGCCATAGCAACATATTAAATTATTTGGGGTATGGTGGTAAAAAAAAAAATTCAAAAGATACCCATGCAGGAAGATTTACTCCCACTTTGAGTTTTCCTTAAAAGCAGGGCCAGATTTAAAATCCTGGATAAGGTACTAATGAAGGCACTTAGCAGAATGATTTCACTAAATTATATGAAAGGTTCAGGATGAAAGGAAGTTAGGAAAAATGGTGCCCTACACACTACATTCTGCCATGTGGCTTCTTTGAGCTCCTGCTCCCCAACCATTTCTATTGTTAATATGTCAACATATTTTTCTCTCAATACAGCCACCACTGAAAAAATTCACGTAACTCAAGACAGTAATTTACTCACAGAGGAAACAGACCTGCAACTTTATTAATAACCAACTTTTTTATTAGAGCAGATACAGTTGTGAAAACTGTACATTATACATTTTGGTTTTAAGGATTATAAATAAAGGAACTCACAGGTAGGGAGTTCTTTTTCACAGCAAGTAACTTTAAATAAACAAAGTCATGTTTTATTAAGTACATTGGCAGACTTCATGTGCTGTCCAAAATGTAGAGTACAGTATAACAACCCATTAGAAAGAGCCTTTCATGTAAAATACAGCTGTGCACATTTTAGAAAAATACCAACAATTTGAGCTTTGTTTTAAAAAAGCTTATAAATCATACATATATTTATAAATGGAACCAACATGCTCACCTTATAAACATATCCTTTAGTTATCTATTACCCATTATTTCCAAAGCATTACACATTTTAAATAAACACTTAATAAGATTAAATATTTTATTTATTTTTTTAAAAAATCAGCTTTCCCAGCATAAAGATCTATGGGGTTAGGAAGGAGCTGTGAGAGTACCAAGACTGACACAGGAACTTAAATGTTTCTTGGGTAAAAACATACTCCCTAGATTGAAAAGTCAAAGCAAAATGTAAAAAATAAATAAATATACAAGTTGCAATTTTCATTTGCTCTCTTTCTGCTTTCTTCTTTATTCCATATTGGTCACACCCAGGATTCTCAACATATTGTACTTCTGCAAAAAATACCACTGGGTTACTACCCTGCAGGTGACAAAGCATCAGTCAACACCTGTTCTAACATGTGACTTGTCTCTTCTTCATTGAGAAGGTAGCAAATATGGTAAAAAGAATCTGACTAAACCATGCAGATCGTGAAAATATTTAGGACTAGCTCCCTCTCCTCAATGTAATGTTTTATAGAGATTTAACAGGTACCTTTCCTCCCCTGATTTCTTTTTAAATCACAATTTTTATAAACACCATGTAGTTTCTCTAAGTAAGCATGCTTCTGAGTAATAAAGATAAATTATAAAACAGCAAAAAATCATTTTATGTCAGAATAACAAAGGACTGCAAAAGACATATTTAAATAAAAATGTCTAAGCCTTTAAAATGTGAAATGAAATTACAAAAGGACTTTGAAAAACATGAAAGGCATAAAATTGAGAAGCAGTGACTTAACAAACCTTTATGCTCTACCTGAATGTATTCAACAAAAATTTAAGTTGGAAAAAAAAAAAAGAGCAGTTATTAATAGCATCTTGCTTAACTTTCATGGGAATTAACATAGCCACTGACAAGATTTCATTTGGTTGTAAAGTACGTCAGCAATGAAACTAGATCCCTTATACACCGATTACTGCAATCCATGCAACATTTTGACTACACTTCTTAGAATTCTGTTGTCTTTCAGCTTTTAAAATTTAGCACCTCCCAGGTGCATAAATAATTCATCTCGATCATGTTAATGCTTTCAAGAGGAAGGTTAATGCCTTCACATTGCTAAATTTTAAAGATTTTTACAGGCTTAGGAAGACTAAATGACAAGAGAAATAATGTATTGCTATCAAACACATTTACTCCAGAATTCTGTTGCCTCTTTTCCTTGAGCTGCAGCACGTGTGTTTCATCCACCCAGGCCCGCACGTTGTAGGTGACTATACATCATATTTAAATCAACAGCAAAAATGAACATAGTCGTGCACAAGCAAACGAAACGTTCTCTCCCAGAACATTCCAGGAGATGTTAAAGCAGCAGGTCATGGCATAAGACTGGTGAGTGATGCTGCTACCTATTTCTTCTAATGAGATAGGAGTGAATGTTGGAGCGGCGGCCACAGCAACACAATCCTCCGACCGCATTCCTCAGGCAGTCGTTTGTTTCCCCAGCTCCCTACTAAAAACGTCAGATGGTAAAATAGTAAGGCAGCTGTTGACTTCCATCAAAAAAAAAAAAAAAAAATGCAGCTCCATACATTTCCAGTTTAGTCACACTTGCTAGGACAGATGGAGTAGCCAATGCCAAGAACTTCACCGGATGGGGCTGCTTCAGCAGATTTTAAAAAAGAATGATTATTAAGTTTTGCTCTCCACCATGGCTGCTTGCTTCAGCTCTCAGAGGACCCCAAGCCACAAAGCCTTCCCAGGGGAACCGAACAGGACCTCTGGCTGAATTTTCCAAGTTTCATTTCTCTCGCGATCCCATCCTAATTCCAAGCCTCCTTCCCTGTGTCTGACTGGGGTGTGCCATTTAAAGGGCTGATGACACCACCAGTTGTCATGACTTCACTGAAGGGTCAAAACAGTTAAATCATTAAGTAATTATGTTGAATCACATTCAGGCACAGCCAAAATTAAAGTGAAGGACAATATATAGTTGTTAAAAAAAATGTACATTTGACTATGGGAAAAGAATGTTAAATATTGTGATTTTATATAAAAATTAAGGTTATTCTTACCTCTCCTTATTCCAATCAAGTTAGAAAGTGAACAAAGAGAATGGCCAAGCCGATATTCAACAGCATGACGAGGACAATCATGATTGAATTAGGGCCCTGAAAATGAATCAGAACAGCACAAGCATAACTTTTCCAGGGTAATCCAAATGTAGGTTAGTTTACAAAACCAGGGACCAAATATATAAAAACTCAACAGTTGCAGTATGCCATGAATTACCACAGCAGTTCCAAAAGGTATAACTAAAAATAGCCAGGCTGTATTTAGATGGAGTCATCGCTGAACTTTCACTTAAAAATGAATCTAGTCTAAATTAATTCTGAAAAATGGCTCAAGAAATAATCTTCATTCACCTCAAAACTTTGAACAACAGTCTGGGTGAGGCACAGCTCACTATAATGGGGTTATAGGTCCATGGCAGTTGGACATGCCTTTTTTCTTACGGTGTAATTCAGACAAGGAAAACCTATTTCCTAATAAAGGCAGTAAGAAGTGCAGAGTGAAATCCATAGGACAATAAAGCCTCCTAGGTAAAAAAAATTCAAGAACTCAAAATGAGGTTCTCTGACTCTCGCTATTCCTGGACTTATGTTTAGATGCTGTTTCCTTAAAGTAAAAACTTCTAGTAGGAAATTGAACATTTTCAGTAATTATTTTGCAGGTCTCATTCCTCATATTTGTGTTATTGACTTTAATGCTTCAGAAATCAAGTTATATTTAACAAATCTCAGAATCTTATTTTGATAAATACTGCTGTAATAAATACCAGCCAGTTGAAGTACCTAACCTTTATTTACTTGTTTAAGAAAGCAAAGTAACCTTATATGAACCATCTTTTCAGATGTAACTATGCTTGACCATCTTTATTACAGAGCTATGATCTTGATCTTTACTACTAAGATAGAGTAATTCTTAAATAGCATTAAAAGTATTCTAAACTAGCCCTATGAGGTAGGTGGTTTTACTATTTTTACAGATGAAGAGACAATTGTAACTATATTTGAAAATCCAATGACACTACATTGAAAATATATTACAGGGACCTCAAGTTTTGTATTGGTGATTTGGGGGGCAGGAATACAATGAAGATTGAAATTGCCATTGGACAAGTGCTCATCTACAGGATCTAGGGCTTGAGTTACATGTCACTCAAGGTGGTCTCCTCCCGGGTGAGGTCACATCTTTCTGCTAGAGGTCAGAGCACCCTGTCCTTTACCTATCCTCACACTTCACCATTTGTCATCTCTTGTTTGATTGTTGTCTTCCCCCAAGACTATGTGTTCCATAAGGCAAGGGCCCCGTCTTGTTCACCTCTGTGCACCCACATGTCAGAACTGCTCAGTTCATTCATGAAAACAGTATTTAATGAAAACCTATTTTCCAGCACTTTTGCAGGTGCTGTGGTGTTGCTGTTGAACAGATTCACTGTAAAATGAAGAACAGGATATTAGTATAATCAGGGTGATGGAGACGAGGAAATAAAAATGGGTGCTTTTGAAATGGGGAGTATTAAGAAGAGAAACCTTAGTTCCCACACCCCCAGTAAATTGGTGGAAAATAAAGATTTATTGCAGGTCTTTTATATGCCAGAAATGGGCTAAGCATTCCTGTGTAGATTGTTCTTGATTTCTTCAAAAGTGATTATTCTATTTTATAGAGCTCTGAGAGTGTGTCCTACCCAAGGCTACTCAGGGAATTGGAATGAATCAGAACTACATTTAAACTTTAGTCTGTCCATGTCAGAGTTGCATCACTATTAGATTCATAGGACTTCTTTGAAAATACACTTGACCCTTGAATAACGTGGGATTTGAATTGCATGAGTCAACTCATACACTGATTTTTTGCTATCAAGGTATGACTATAGTTCAAAAGTTGTCCTTGAATTTTTGACTGCCTGTAGTCCCCACGTTGTTTAAGGATCAACTGTAATAACTTCTCATCCACTTCTTCAAAACAGGCACTTTAATTTATATTCCATGGATGTTTTTCTGCTACTATGGAATCAGTCTTGATAATGATCAAATGCTTTTTTGGAAGAGTTGTATTCAAAATTGATAGAATAGACCTAACCTCCATAACTACTCAATGTGGCTAACTTAGAACATATAATGTAGGAAACCCCATATAATTCAATTAATTGGTTTTTCGTCATCATCACTTAGCATAGAGACTTGCAGGTATTGGTATGGTATTACTATTACAAGCTTTGGTTAGATTTTGCTCATAAACATGTTAGGTTTTGGGATCATTCTGATTCTTTAGGGTCAGTGGAATTCACAATTCTCAAAGATAGCAATACGAAAGATGAGGAAGAGAATACAAGAAAGTTCAGTGACTTACAGTGGAGCCAGACAAAGTAGTAACGGTAAAGTTAGCTTCAAAAGTTTCAAGTTTGTCTGGATCTTTAACTCCCATTTCATAAGTCCTTTATGAGTTTATCTAACCCTTTAAAGTGGTTAGTACTTTGTGTGTGTACTTTTTCCAAGTGAACATACACATATTTTTCTTGCTATATTCTAATAAGCACATATGTAGGTATTCTAGCACACAGCTCCATTTATAAAGCTATTCTTAAAGTTGACTCAGGGACAATGAGGCTAACCCAGCAATAAAAGGTTCAAATAGCAAATCAGGTGAAAAATAAATTCTGGGCTGCTGTGTTTAACAGGCAGATATTAAAACATGACCTCGGTCTTTTTGATACATACACTGGGTACAGGGTGGAAAGCTTTAAGGCGAAGTCTCAGAAATATGACTGTGGTAACCGGTTGTAGATTAAAATAGCAAAAAAAAAAAAAAAGAAATCAGCCTTGCTTTTCAAGACTGATTGGGACAGGTGTAATAAAAGCTGTATCAGGGCAAAGTACAAGTCTTGATTGGAAGAAGCTTTCAGGCAGATAGAAAAGTAGAAGTCAAATGTGAAAGTTTTCCTTCTTTAAAGAGACTTTCACTCATACTGTGAGGAATAAACCTGAAGAATTTTCTGCTGAACAAGTATAGTTTACTTACATTAAGTCTAAAATTCTCTAAAATCTTGTGAAAAGAGCAGTTGAATTTACCATTAATAGCAACACTTAATTATATATATTTACTGTTGTGTGTCTATGGTTCCATTTGAAATGGGAAATTTCAGATCTCAAACTTAAAAGTGCAGGCAATTTTCAGGAGTAAAGATGCCTCTAGTGCTTCTACCTGAGTCACCCGTGTTGTAAAATTGTACAAAAATTTTGCTATCACAGACTCTGTTCTCCCAGGACATGAGTGTACATGCAACTACCAACAGAGGTATCAGATTCCTTCAGGAAGGTTGAAGGGTACCCCCTGCCATTTGTTTCCCTTCTCTTACCTCACATAATTAATTTACTCTGCATTAGCCAATATCCCACAAGATTTTCTGGGAGATTTCTAATTTCTATATCAATATTGAGGGTGATTCTGAGGATGAGCCAAAATTTACTGGAGTATTTGAGCTAACCTATGCTTCAACTAGTACAGAGCTGAAACAAACCAAATAAATAGCCAATGCTTTGCGAGCATTTACTATGTGTGAGGTACTGATAGTCCTGCATCACTTAATGGGAATACAATCTGAGAAAAGTGTCATCAGATTTTATCATTGTGCAAACATCAGAGTGTTCTTAGGCTAACCTAGATGGTATAGCCTACTACACACCCAGGCTGTATGTAGGGACCACTGTCGTAATGTAGTCCATCACTTACTGAAATGGCTTTATGAAGAGCATGCCTGTTATTAATTAATTTCCACACCAACACTCTGATATAGGTATAGATGAGGAAACTAAGTTACTGAGTAGTTAGGAAACTCACCCAAGTCACAGAGCTGGTAAGCAACACAGTTGGGGTTTGAAGGTAGGGAGTAAGGCACCAGAGTCCCTTAGCCACCAGCTTGTACCATCTCAATCCATAAGTTGGTTAACAACAATTCTTGATACAGTTTGAGTCGGAATTGCTATTTGTAGGATGACTAACCAAAATGAATCTCTTAGCTGTCCACAAGGAGCACTAACTTATTCAGTCTGGTTTTCTCTCAAAAGTCTGCTTTAATATGAATGTTGATATGGATTTTCGAGTTCTTTCTAAAGCTCTAATTTACAGTGTCCTTTCTATCCCCAATGTGTACATACTACTCTTGTTTAAAACGCTGTTCACTGACTACCCCAATCACGATTCTCCTCCTAACTCTGACAAAGAGGGTTATTAAGAGTGGGAAAGGAAGGGAAGGTTAATTATTAAAATCTTCAGTGAAGGTGCCAAGTCAGCCTTGGTTTCCAACTCCCTCACCATCCTCCCAGAGCTGCTCTGCTTCTCCGTGGGTGTGGAAGGGAACCCTGCAGCACTGTCCTGGGGTGAAGGATGCCTGACTGTAAGAATAAGACAATTTTGCATAGACACTTTTTCTAAATGAGGATGTGAATTTACCAAACATATCTAATTAGTGATGTTTTATTTGAAAGACTATTAACAGGTAAGAGGTAGGTAACAAGATCTCATGTGCAGGACACAGGTAAAAAGGAAGCTCCCCAGAGAGTTCTTGGAATCATTGCAAGCCCACTGTTGCGCACCCAAAAGTATGTTATAGGCCTTTGCATTATTGAATTTTCCCTACTAATCAAGCAAACTAATACTCATATATATGTGAAGGTTTATCAACTTGTGATATAAGTGTTGACAATCAACTGGGAAGTGATTTATTACATTTAACAAATTCTAACAGTGATATATAACAGTTATAAAATCAGGATTTAGACATACCGATGTTAATTTTTTTTAAAGAATGTTTACTGAATGGTCTTTTAATTTGTTTTGAAAACTATTCCCTCCCATGGAGGTTGACTGTTAGGAATTTAATCCAGTTAATCTGATTAGTTTATATTTAGATGAGAATTTGAAAAAAAATGAGAATCAGTGTTTGTAGGCATCAGCAAAATAATCATACTTAAGAGGTTTCAAACATTAGGCAATTAAAAAGATTAATTTCAAATGTTTATAAGTAAACTGGTGGTTAATTCTCGTTGGCCAAGATTTTAACCCTTACTGTTATGCAACTATGTCTCTGAAATTACTAATAATATTGGGTAGGGTATGGCTTATTCCCTAAGCTACATTTAACAACCAATTCTTGTTCCAAAGACAAGTGACTAAGTCCATAGGTCAGTCTGCCAACTTTTTAAATTAGTAATTATTTTTTAAATTCTGAATTTATAAAATCTGAAACTACTAACTGCAAATATCATTCAACAAGTGTCATGGTTGTAGATATTTATTAGTAATAGTTTTCTGGTTAAATAATAAAACCTTAACTGCTCTCAAGGCTAATAATGATAAACGAGGATCTACCAGAAAACTGAAATTTTTCAGTATTGATTTAAAACCAAAATATTTTTCTTAAACAGTTGAAAAATTTTAATACTCATTTGGGAAAAACTTTTTTTAACTGCCAAATCTAATGGGCTGTCAGAAAAGTCAAACTTCACAATAGGTAGAAAAGATGTTCTTTTATCTAAAGATGCTGACGGTGCTGGGTGTTAAAAGATAGACTAAGCTCTTAGAAAGTGGGGGAGCCATCTTCCTTGCTTCAGCTGAGTGACCAGCCCTTGACAGGAGCTATGGTTCCCTTCCAGTCCTCAGAGAGTTAGCTACTAGTATGTTCTGCATTTGTGTCCCCTGAAAATTCATTCATTGAAATCCTAATCTCTAACGTGATGGCATTTGGATAAGTGGTCTTTGGGAGGTAATTAGGTCATGTGGATGGAGCACTGGTGATGAATTAGTTCCCTCACAGGGAAAGATGCTAGAACTTGCTTCCAATGTCTCTCTGGCACATGAGGACATAGCAAGATGACTTAACTTGCTTCCAATGTCTCTCTGGCACATGAGGACATAGCAAGATGACTTAAGGTCTAGGAACTGGGGGGTAGGTCCTCAGCAGACAATGAAACTTACATTGAGCTGGGACTCCCTGACTTCTACAACTGTGAGAAGTAAATATTTGTTGTTTAAGTTATCCAGTCTATGCTATTTTTGTTAAAGCAATCTGAACTATGACAAATCTGCAAAGCTTACACGAAGTGCAGTAACTATGATGGCATAATAAGCTGACTACGCTTTCACTGATTTGAATTGATGTCTAAGGTATGTGGTTGACTGGACACTCAGGGATTTCTGCCTGGAGACCACTGCTGTTTGAGGCGACAAGCATGCTAAGCTCTACTCTCAAGAGTCCTGTGCTTATCTGGACTTTGCTAGCTTAGTTGTTAAGATGCAAGTCACCTAAACCTATCTGAGAGGACTAAAGAGAAGAAAGGAAAATATTTCTTGTACAACTTACTGAATTGGCTTCCTTTTCCAAAGAAGGGCACGATTCATTGCTTGCTGGATTCTTTGGTATAGCAAGTTCAGACTTCTTAGCTTTTGGCTCAGCTTTGCTTTCTTTGGCAACTGATTTTGTCACAGATTTAGGGGCGCTCCACTTGTTGGGTGATGGCTTGTGCACCAGTGCTGAGGAAGACTGGCTCGATCTGCTGCTTTCCTCTGCTTCATCTGGAGGATGCTGGGGAGCATTCAGTTTCACGTAGTAGCCATGGTACTGAGAATGCAGCTCCCCGTTACTGGGGTTAGGGACATGGTGGCGGCCAGAGTACTTGGACGATGGCATGCCTGCTCCCACTTCCTTCGAGGGAGCCTTTGACATCAAGGGCTTATTGACTGTAGCTGTCACCTGCTCATCTGCCACACTCCTTTTGTCTTGGTTATGTCTTGCCCCTGAGCTGGGGTTCTGCTTCTTTGTGAGTTTTGGGGAAGGCTGGGGAGAACGACTCTGCTTGGGACTTGGCTCAGGAGACCTTGGGGGTGTCGTGCCTTTGCGATAAAAATGAGGAGATTCCTTTGGTGTAGTTGGTTTTTCTGGTACCTTTTCTTCTGGATTTTCTTTAGCATCTACACCTTCCTGAAATCTCTGTTTGATATAATCTGGGCCTGGGGGAGAAAAGGAAGGTGATAAAACAAAAATTCATAAAGATTTATTCCTCATGGCTAAGTAACATTAGCCTTTTATCTTGTTTTCTTTACAAGTCTTTGACTAAGCACAGCACATTTCATTCCTTTGAGGAAAGAGATTGCTAAAAAGGTGCTTTTTTTAAAGTTAAGTAAATATATACCATTACTATTTCTTGATAGCTATAAAATTTAAGCAAGTCTTGACTTCCCTAATAATTGCAGTGTTCTCTTATTTGCAGATTACTGAGGTAAATTATGTTGATGGAACACTGATGACAATACCATAATTAATTTGTGTATTCAATTTGTGGCATAACTAGACAAATTCTCTTATGTTTAATGTGTTCAAACACTTACATATTAATGTTAGATATACTTAATAATAAAATCTCTGGTCCAATCTACATATACTGTAGGAAGCAGAAATGGGAGCTGCTTTGACAGATCCCCAAAAGTGACAGTTGCCAGCAAAGGATGATACTGATAAAATACTAACAAGAGACCATTTATTTGGTGGTGGGAGGAACTTAGGCAGTTCAATGTATATTCAAGAAAATTTTTTTCTAAAGTTAGTACTTTGAGCAATATGCTTTAGTTATCTAGAAAAAGTACAATAGTCAATTATATTTGAACAACAAAGCACATTTTCAAATGCTGTTTTCCTTATCTCTTAATTTACCTATCAGTAATAGAACAAGTTGAGAAGACTTGGTCATTCAAGGAATCTGTGTTAAACTTGAAGCTATGTTTTGGATTCCACTGGATGTATTTTTGTTATGGTTGCTGATTAACTCTCAAATGTGAACCTAATCACTTTTGAAATGATGCAATGCTTCTATGGACATAGTTGTCTTAAGTGTGTTAGGAAAGGCATTTCTTACATGATCATATTTTTGCCCTTCTAAGATGTGGTTTAGAGATATATTCATTCAGATTAATCTATAGCTGTTCTTATAGTAATATGTTAAACTCAAGGAATTTACTCAAATGTGGAAGTACATTCTAACACTGACTTTTAGATTTTAAAAAATTCTAGCTTTTAGAGGACTTAAGCAAAAGGAATTCAAATTGGAAAAGTAGTATAACTGTCACTATATGCAGATGACATGGTAAAAACCCTCAGATAACTGAGAAAGCCCTCAAAACTCTACTAAAAAACTAATTGAAATAATACATCAGTACAGTAAAGTTGCAGGATAATCAATTTAAGAAAATCAGTTGTTTCTACATGCAAACAATGAGCTAGGAGAAAAAGAAATTAGTACCATTTACATAGTAACAAAAGAAATACATAGGTGTAAACTTAACTTGAAGGCTTATATAATGAAAACAATATGACATTGCTAAAAGAAAATACAAAGATATGGAAACATATTCCCTGATCATGCATTGGAAGAATTAACATTATTAAAGTGTCCATTTTACCCAAAGCAATATACAGGTTCAATACTATCTCTATCAAGGCTCCAATGGCATTCTTCAAAAAAAATAGAACAAATATAACTGAAATTCACAGGGAACCACAAGTGACCCAAATAGCCAAGACAATCCCGATAAAGAGTGATGGTATCACACTCCCAAACGTCTCAAACTGTAGTAATCAGAGTAGTAACAAAAGCATACACACAGATCAATGGAATAGAATTGAGAGCCCAGAAATAATCTTTAGACAGTTAATCCATGAAAAAGGGGCCAAGAGAATACACTGGAGAAAGGAGAGTCTCTGCAACAAATGGTATTGGGAAAACTGGACAGCCCCATGCAAAAGAGTAAAACTAGATCACCATCTCATACCTTACACAAAAATTAACTCAAAATGGATTAAAGATTTGAATGTAAGAGCTAAAACTATAAACTGCACTGAAGAAAATATATGCAAAGCACTCTGGCAGTGATGTCTTTGAGCAAAAACGATTAAAGCAAATATAAACAAATGTGACTACAAACTAAAATGTTTCTTCACAGTGAAAGAAAGTACCAGTTAAACAAAATAACACCCAACTGAGTGGAAGAAATTATTTTTACTTCATACATCTGATGAAGTGCTGATATCCAAGGTCCAAAAAGAACTCACACAACTCAACAAAACAACCCAATACAAAAAGGGGCAAAAGAGTTTAAATACACTTCTCCAAAGAAGACATACAGAAACAGACAGGAAAAAATGTTCATCACTTGTGAGAAAAATTCAAAACCACAATGAGATAATACCTCACACCTGTGAGACTAACCCATATCAAAGAGACCAGAAGCAAGACGTGTTGGCAGGGATGTGGGGGAAAGAGAAGCCTTTATACATTGTTGGTGGGAATGTAGACTAGCATTTTCTCAAGATTTTAAAAACAGATCTACCATGTGATTCAACAATTTCACTTCTAGAAATCTACCCAAAGGATGCAAAAACACTAATATAAAGGGATAGATGCACTCCTATGTTCATTGCAGCACTATTTCAATAGTGAAGTTATGGAAACAACCTATGTGCCCAAGGACAGATGAAGTGGATTATAAAAACGTGTATATATACACAATGGAATATTACTGTTATTTGAAAAATGAACTCTTCCCATGCGCAACAACATGGTTGGAAATAGAGATACTGTATGCAAAATAAGTTATGAGGACAAATACCAGATTCCACTAATATGTGAAAACAAATACAAAACACCAAACCAATAACAAACCCTAGAAATCTGCTTGTAGAATTGAGGCCACAAGATAGGGGGAATCACAATGGACTATGGTGGAAGACTGGTTGTGGTGACGTGCATCTGAGAAGGTGCTGTTTGGCTATTTAAAAATCATTAACAAAGCTAGATTTTTTTTTCCTTTTTGAGGCAAGGGAATAAATATACTCCAAAGCAGTGGTGCCATATTTGCTGCCTCTCATAGGCTTACTGTGGTGCAGCTGAAGCTGGAGAACTCTCAGGGAACACAGGCTGTGGAGTGCTATGTTTATCCCCATTCTTGGTCTCACTATTGCTGCCAGTACCTCCCACAAAGGAGATTATATGCTCCTCTAGAACCCCAATTTTTAACAGATATTTCCAAGCAGATACCTAAGGTCCTGGCATCCAATCAACCTTAAACTAGGTCCTAGAAAAGATCCCCCTTCCTTGGAACACTGACAGGTCTTGGTACAATACCCTCAACAGCAGGGACCTGTCAACCCAACACAAATGTTTGAAAGTCAACCAAAAAACAGTGGAAAGTTGAGCAATGAGATTCGACACTAACACAAGGCCACTCCACTAAGACTGGAGAAGGCAACTGTTTTGCTAATAATATATAGAAATAAAAACAGAAATATGTTCCAAATGACAGAACAAGATGAAATTTCAGAAGAAGTAACCTACCAGATAAAGAACTGAAAGCAGTGGTCATAAAGATGCACACTGAACTTGGGAGGAAAATGGATGAGCAAAGTGAGAACCTCAACAAAGAAAATATGTAAGCACCAAACCGAAGTCACTAGACAAAGCAATAGAGGGGTCAACAGCACAATGAGTGAACTCTATAAGGGTAGGGGAGCTGACCCAAACAGAGTAACAAATAGAAGAATTTTAACAGATGAAGATAGCTTAAGAGACCTACGGTACATCAAGAAGAATGTTCACATTACAGGGTTCCCAGAAAAAAAGATACTGAGAACAAGGTAGAAAACTTATCTGAGACCCAATCTGGGGAAGAAAACAGATATTCAAGTTCAGGAAGCACAGGGTTCCAAATAAGATAACTCATGAAATACACAGGACGATATAATCAAATGTCAAGTTAAAAAATCTTAAAAGGAGCAAGAGAAAACATATCATATTTTTCATCAGTTTGTAAGCCAGAAGAGAGAAGCATGATATATTCAAAGTTCCAAAAGGGAAAAAGAAAAACCAACACAAATTGCAAAGCAAGAAAATACAATCTCTTCAATAAATAGTGCTGGGGAAACTAATGCAACATCCAAACAAACAAAAGATTACTATCTTAAACCATACACAAAAATTAATTCAAAATAGTTATGATTTCAGTTCTTACATTCAAATTCTTAAATTTTTAGAAGGAAATATTGGTCTTAGTCATGTTTATATGGATTTAACCCCAAAGGCAAGGAGCAATAAAAGTAAAATAAACAAAATAGACTACATCAAACTAATAGCTTCTGCACAGCATAGGAAACCAACAACAAGAGGGCAACTTACTAAATGAGAGAAAATAGTCACAAAACTATATATCAGATAACAGGTTAATATCTAAGCTATATAAAAAATTCACACAACTCAAAGGAAAAAAGCCTGATTTAAAAATAGCTAGAGGATATGAACATACCTTCCCCTCCAAAGACTTAGTCAATATCTCAAATCACTAATCACAGGGAAATACAAATCTAAACCACAGTGAGATTCTTACCTCACATCTGTCAGGATGGCTATTATCGAAAAGATAAGGAATAACAAGTGTTGGTGAGTATATAGAGGAAAAAGGAATCCTTGTGCACTGTTGGTGGGAATGTAAATTGGTGCAGTCACTATGGAAATCGATATGGAGATTCCTCAAAAAAATAAATAGAACAACACTATATTCCACCACTTCTACTTCTGGGCATCTATCCAAAGAAAACAAAAACTAATTTAAAAACATACATGCATTTTTCACTGCAGCATTATTTACAGTAACCAAGACACAGAAAGAATCCAAATGTCCACCAATGAATGAATGAGTAAAGAGGTTTTGGTATACTTAAGATCTTCCTTAACTTGTGATGGTGTTACTTCCTAAAAACCCATTGTAGATCGAAAATATCATAAATCAAAAGTACATTTAATACACCTAACTTGCTGAATATTATAGCTTAGTCTACCCTGCTTAAATGAGCTCAGAATCTTTACATTAGCTGACAGATGGACAACATCATCTAACAAAAAGTCTGTTTTATAATAACATTTTGGGCTATCTTAATGCAATTTATCAAATACTATACTGAAAGT